CACCGGTTGAGGTTTTGCCGTGTGAGAGGTCACAGGCTCAAATCTGGCCAGTAGCCTCTCACAGATATCTAAAGTGAGCCTGTCCATATAACACTCTTATAGAAGGAACCTTCTCTGAAAATTCGCGTAGCAGTCTAGCAGAGTTGTTTAGTGAAACGAACTTATTAGTAACATTATTATGTAGTTACTTGGGTATCAAAAATTCTTCATCTTTATATCGTTTGATTGACTTTAGACTGCCTGCACTTCTTTTTCAATAGTGAAGTAGCAGGTGGTCAATGCAACTCTCAACGCTCATCATGGGTCATCCAGAAACAGCCACTCTATGTTTTAAACACAGGGATCAAATTGCGTACATCCGACCCTCCTTACCCCGCAATAGGCGGGAGCTTTTGAGGCATTGGGGTAGTGTTGTTGTTGATTGATTTTAGAGTTTCCTTATATGAATATTAATGTTGCAGGTTATGAATTTGATTGGCGACGTCAGGGGAAAAGTAGCAGTAATGGTTGATGACATGATTGATACAGCTGGTAATTCTTCTGTTTCCATTCTCTAGTTTATACCCCTTTTCGTTCGGATTTAGTTGTCCACTTTCTATTTTGGAATGTTGTGAACTTATTGTCTAGTTACTAAAAAACATTTTTTGGTGAAAAAAAGTACCCCTTAGATTATATTAGTCCTGTTAACATCAAGCCACTTTCAAAACCTTTTTTTTCAATTAACCTAATTCTCAAAATTAGAGGATTTAAGACAAGTTAACATTAAATCCAAATGAAGGGCTATTAATGAATACTCCATCCATCGCATAAAGATAGGGACATATTGACTAAAGTGGTAAAATAAGGGAAAGTTGATTTTGTGTTGATATTCCAAAAATACCCTCAATGTGATGGGTAAAAGTAAGATGTGATGTGCAGATTATTAAGAAAAAGGTATGATGTGATAGGTGGGGTATGAAAAAGTAAAGGGTAAAAGTGGTTTTTTAATAGAAATGTGGAGGACTTTTGGGGACACGGTTTTTTTTGAAACGTGAAAGACTTTTTGAGACGGAAGGAGTATTTTCTTTAGTTCATTCATTTATGGGTATTGATAAGAAAAACAAGCCGAACTACATCCCGTTACGACCCTGGAGCCGAGGCACACTAACCTCAATGATTGCAAAACCTGCTTATACATTTCATTTTGTATATACGGAGAGTATATGGGTTTTGATAAATTGTGTGAGGTCAGGTACTATTGCAAAAGGAGCTGAACTGTTACATCAAGAGGGAGCAAGAGAAGTTTACGCGTGCTGCACCCATGCGGTTCTCAGGTAGGGACACCTCCTAGTTCTTTTTTCTGTGTGACATTTATGGTTCATATCATCTTCCATTGATATATGTGTCTTCTCTCTTTTTCTCTCTCTCTCTCTCTCTCTCTCTCTCTTGCTTGCAGTCCACCTGCAATAGAGAGGTTATCTAGTGGACTCTTTCAAGAGGTAATCGTCACCAATACTATACCTGTTTCGGAACAGAATTACTTTCCCGAGCTAACAGTGCTGTCTGTCGCCAACCTCCTCGGGGAAACCATATGGCGTCTCCACGACGATTGCTCAGTGAGTGGACCCCACTGCTTAATTCTTTGAACCGAACTATATAAACCAGCACTGTTTTGCATAATTCTAATTTGTTTTTCTTCTCACTTTTTCAGCGTGGATTTGAGCCTTACTCAAGCCTGGGCATTGATTGATTCCACAGCTCCCGCTGAAGATGCTCCATGATTTTTGGAGACATGCATAAACCAACCATAATTTGCATCCTGAACCAAAGCAATGCTTGCTTCTTTTTGTTGGGTAAATACCCCTCCTAGATTAGCATTGTTGGTCATCGTAAACAGGTTGACTTCTCTGTCCCCTTTTTAGCTTTTGTTATATGTTTTGCAAAACTAGACCAATATTGTGTACTACGCAGTACTTTATGGACAAACTCGTGCATATTGTGTGAGATTGTGAGGACAAGTTAGGTGTTGTAACATGATCGAAAATTGTTATTCCCCTTTGTTTGAGAAAACAAAGACCAAGCGCTTGTACTATGGGTAAATAAGAAATACGGAGTATGGCAGTATGCCATGTGTAATCTGGTACAATCACACAAAAATTATGAAGTGATAAAAAACAAGATGATTGTGACATTAATGTTCTTCTTGAGAACATTGAGAGATACTTCAAATATCAATATAAGAACATTTATACTATGTTTGGTTCAAGGAATTAAGAAAGAAAGGAAAATGATAAGGAAAAGAAAAGAAAAGAAAGGAAACTCAAAATTCTAGTTATGTTTGGTTAAGATGGAAATTGATGAGGAAAATGTATTCTCATACTCTTTTTGTTTGGTTAGAAGGAAATTTGGTGAGAAAACAATATAAATTCAAATTTGAATCCAAAAGATTTTATTGAATCAAATTTGAACCCAAAATAAACTTTAGCATTTTTAATAAATTTTTTTAATATTATCGATTAACTCTAAAACACTAACATAAGACTTATACGGAGTAATTTCCAACATTGAAATTTACTAGTTATTTGTTATTTATGAAAACAAAAAAAAATTATTCTCAAATAGCCCATGAAAGAAAAGTAGATTACAAACAGCCCAGTATTTTAATTGCCAAAGGTTAATGACAAAAAAATAAAACCCAAAAGCATATAAATATGCAGTGCTTACAAACAGCCCAGGAAGCACCGAAGCATTATATTGGTTTTTCGAATGTGAGGAAACTGCCGAGAAGGTTACAGAGACGGGATTCTCTCGATTTCCTTCCGAAATCGGGAGGAAAATGATTTTCCTGTTTTTTAATTCATTTTCTCTCCACTTTTCTTTTCCTCTCACTTTTCCTTTCTTTTTCTCACTAACCAAACATAAAAAAAACATTTCCCTCCTATTTTCTTTTCTTTTCCCAGCCAAAATCCTTGAACCAAACATAGTGTTAGAGCCTCTTCTTTAGAACTGGAAAAAAAGAGCTGGGAAAGAAACTGGAAAAAACTGGAAAAAACTGGAAGAAACTGAAAGAAACTGGAAGGAACTGAAAACAACTAGGAAAAACTGAAAGGATTGGAAGAAATTAGAAAAACCTCAAAAAATTGGAAAACCTATAAACACTTTAAAAAAATTTATTTTAGTGTATTTTTATATTATTCTGATTCTAATTCTTGTAGTTATAAATTATTATAATTGTTATTATTGTTATTATTTATAATAATAATAATAATAACATTAATAATAATAATAATATCATCACGTTATCTTAATGAATGTCTTTAAAATAAAAAAAGCATTGTTATTTTTTCAAATACAAAAAATACTTTTGCAAAAAAAAAAATAATAATATAAAGTTAGCATAAATATCAAATGTTAAATTTTAAAAAGCTTTTGTACTTACATTTCAACTGAATTTACTTATGCAGTATTTATTATAAATAATATATTTGAAGTTATACTTTATATATTACGGAGTATAAGATTTTGTTTTAAAATATACGACGACATGTCATATAATGTAATTAAACATATTTTTTCTTTCATGATTCACATTTTATTTTCATTGTAAGTCTTATTTTTGAAATAAAGACCGAACTTTATTTTATATATTTTATATTTTACTCCTATTTTAGTCTTTTTTTCTAAACTATTTTGACTTTCAATTTTTTTTATAAAATTAGAAAAATGAGAAAATCTTGAGTGATAAAGGGAAAAGTGAGAGGTCTTATATAAAGTTCGATAAATAAAACATTCTATGTAACTATTTTATCTATAATTTTTTAATATAGTTCAAAATATTGATGTTTTCCTGTTTTATTATATAGATTAATATACAAAAAATTGTCTTATTCATATTAAAAAGTTGAAGAAAAAAATAATGAGTGTGAATTGTAAAAATAGTGAGATGAAAAAAATAATTTATAAACTATAGTTATGAACATAACAGTTGTAATAATATTAATAATAATAACAATAATAATAATAATCACATTAAATATATATCGTTTTTATAGTAATTGGTTGGGGAGTAGAAAGAGTTTGAAGAAAATCAGAATAGTTGGAAGAAACTAGAAGAAACTGGAAAGAATTGGAAAGAAATAGAAAAAGCTGGGACAAACTGGAAAAATTGGGAAGAAACTGGAAATTAAAAGTTTAAGCTGTAAAGAACAGGATCTTAGAGTACTTGAAATATGGGAGAATAAATACATCCATCAACTAAATGCATTCTTGATGCATTCGTATATTTTTCATTAAAAATGAAATAGACTTCATTAATTTAAAAATAACATTAAACATTCATATTTAAAACTATCCATCATATATTTCATTTCTTTATTTTTCAAAAAAAAATAATACTTCCTTAGTTTCAAATTAAATTGTCTGTTTACTATTTATATGGTCAAACTTTATTCATATTCTTTCTCTTTTTCATTAGTCATTTGATAAAATAATATAGATATGTCACCACCACTTTTGTAGATCTTTTAATGTAGTTTTTAAATATGTAATTTTTATTTTTAAATTTTACACCATTTTTCATATAAAATGAATTGAAAATAGTTTCAGTCAAACATCGATATAGTAACCTGAAAAAGGCAATTTAAATTGGGATGAAAGGAGTAGTATAAGTTTTACTTATAATTTTATAAAGGGAGAAGAAGCAAACTATAAGTAAAAATTACTCCCTCCGTTCTCAAAAACACTTCCTCTTTCATTTTTTCCACTTCCAACAAAACACTTCCCCTTTCTATTAAAAAACCACTTTTACCCTTACTTTTTCATACCCTACCTATCACATCATACTTTTTCTCTAATAATCTATCCATCACATCTTATTTTTACCCATCACATCAGGAGCAAAATTGAAAATCAACTACAATTTAACACTTCCTTATTTTTGCCTCAAAATTAAATGGGAAGGGTTTTTCCAAACGAAGGGAGTATGTAATATTTCCAAAATAAGAGTTAAAACTTAAACTCCCCTAAATATGAGTAATTTACTTAATTGATCTAATCTTCTCACACACTCGCTCCCTTCACACACCCATTTTCCCTCGATCATACAATGCACAATGTCATTTCTCTATCTCCCTTCTATCCCTCCATTTTACAAAATTAATGTATCGATTTGTGGTCGTCGCCTCTATCGCCACCACTGTCACCTTTGTCACCCCCCTGCCACTTTTGCAATCGCCCAATGCTGCCTCCATTAATATCCTTGAATTTCTGCCTCCATAAATGTCCTTCAACTGCAGCCGCCACTGCCGCCTTTGTCATCCCCTGCCACTTCTTCAACAAGAAGATCAAACAAGTTCGAGAAATCCAAAGTTTTAATTATAGATTAAAAAAATAATAATCGTTGAAACAAGCTATCCTCAACTTCACTCGCTTTGTAATTTACAACTTAGAAAGCTATTGAACGGTAGCAATGAATTGATCTCATCTATCTTTTAGGGGTTTAAGATTGATTTCCTGAGATGGACGATCCAAATTTTAACATTAATGGATGCACATGAGTGAACTCCTTATACCCCCTTACATGCACCTTTGTGGCATAATCATCCAAAGCCGCCTTTATCGCTCTCCATATTTGATCCTCCCCTTGTGAATCCATCCAAAGCAAGGAATGCCGAGGGGACAGGCTGTTCCTCTACATGGGAGACTGTAGCTCGTCGCACGTTGTCACCTCTAGTGATGTCATTAAATCGTCGATGCCCCTGCTGCTACTGAGTAGTTTACAACAAGAAAGTAAAACGAAAAATGCACAATGACATATATTTCATTGTATGTGTTTGAGTGCCTTCGTGCTCTACAAAATAAAGGAATGTGGTTTATATGAAAGGTCTTGTACCTTTTCAAATATTTATACCACTTATTTGCAAATTACAATGCTATACTTTCTTGTCCTCATGGGAAGTGAGGCATCCTTTATTCCAAATATACATAGACTGTCAAATAAAACCACACTAGCTTAATGCCACACATAATCACACTTTTAATACCGAATTCACAAAATAATTTCCTAAGAAGTAAATTCAAATTTAAAATTAAATGTATCCACTTATGTCAAACTAAATATCAAGTTAAAAATAGAAGATGAGGTCAAAAATTTAAGCAATATGCTAATTGGAAGAACACAACGAGAGCTTGGGGGAAAAATTTTATGTTGGTTAAATCACTATGCTCTAGCGACAATAGGGCCGGCCTTGAAAAACGAAAAAAATGAAATTGGCCCGGCCCAAAATTTACATTTTGGGCCCTATTTTATTATTTTAGAGTACTTACGTTTCAAAATTAATGATGAATTCAAAAATAAAGGGCCCTAAAATTTTAGAGGCCGCGCTGTTGGTCACTTTGAATATCCTCTGGGGCACCCATGCGACGAACACACCATAAAATTGAGAAAAAATGAAGAATTTTAGCGGAAACTGATCTGGTTTTCATTAAATCGTGAACTAATATAAATACAAGTACAGAAATGGGCCTTGCCTAATATGCTAGAGTAAAACCTATATACAAATATCCGCTAACACTCCCCCTCAAGTTGGTGCATGAATGTCACGAATGCCCAACTTGCAAAGTAAGAAATCAAAAACATGTTTTGACAAGGGTTAGTAAAAATATCCGCTAACTGATAACGAGTAGGAACGTAGCATGTGGACACTTCGTGGTGCGGAACATATTCAGGAACTGTATGACAATCAACATCAATATTCAAGATAATTCCATATAATTATCCTCCGTCCAGATCCAATGTATCTAGTCTCCGTATTATCTCCATCCTTTGTAAATACTTTATTCTTGTATTTATCTCTTGTGAGTAGTAGTTGGTTAGGAGTCTCTCTCTGTATCTATTTAAGCACCATCATGTGAATGAAGTAAGTTAAGTTGGCTCCCAGCTCTATATGGTATCAGAGCTGTTACGATAACTCTATCCTCAATTCCTATTATTTTTTTACTCAATCGGCTCTAGCCGCTACTCAGTCGCCTTCTCTGATCACGCTCACCATGTCTTACTCCCTCACCAAAGATACTCCAGTTATCCAGTTACATGCCGAAACTCACTTTCCCATAAAATTGGTTACCACCAATTTTCCCATATGGCAGCGCCAAGTTCGCTCTACTCTCATTGGGCTCGATCTCTTGGGATATGTGGACGGCACACTCGCTGCTCTTGCAAAGGTCGTTTCCCACGCCATAAACCCGTGTTATGCAAATTGGTTCCGTCAGGACCAAGCTATAATTAGTGCCCTCCTCGGCAGTTGCACTGACAATATTCAACCTCTTATTTCCAACGTCGACATGGCTCGTGAAGCATGGTTGAATCTTCATTCCAGTTTTGCAAGAACTAGTCACGGTCATGTTCTTTCCCTAAAGTCCAAGCTCGCCAAGAATCCTTGGGGTGACCGTTCTATTGCTGTCTATCTTCATGAAATGCATTCTTTGGCAAATGAATTGGCTCTCATTCAAAATCCCATTCCTGAGGAAGATCTTGTTTCTCATATTCTCAATCAACTTGGGTCTGATTATGATCCCATCACATCGGCTGCTCATCTTCGTGAGACGCACATCTCCTTCGCGGAACTTGGTAATATCCTTCGTGATTACGAACGCAAGTTGAAAGCGTCTGAGGAGGCCAGTTCGGCGACAGTGCTCACGGCCAATGTTACTCAGTCCAGCATGTCTGGTCGTTCATTTGGTAATAGTGGCCATGCCTCCTCCTTCTCTCATGATGCTGCACGTTCTCCTCAAGGTCGGCATCAGAACCGCAACTCTTCCGATTTTGGTAGACATCCTCGGCGCGCCTTTGCCTCTAATGGTGCATGTCAATTCTGTGCTATTCCCGATCATGATATCCAGGTATGTCGGAAACTTGCTCGTCTCCTTCGTGATAATGGAATGCAATCCACAACTGTTGGTGGGTCCCACCCGATTGGTCATACTACTTTGGCTACCTCCGATGGGTCTGCTCAATGGATGTTTGACAGTGGGGTAAGTCATCATACAACGCCTACTCCCACTTCTCTGCAAACTTTCTCCGACTACGGTGGTCCCGATGAGATTCGCGACACGAAGGAAATCTCGGCTTCTTAATGTTGTAAGAATGATTAATGGCTCATGTCTCTGTAACTCTGGTTTTTAAGGATTGCACTTTATAGGCAGTTTGCATGAATTCACAGAATACTCAAAACTGTGTGTGTGTGTGTATGTTTGTGTGTGTGTTTCCCCCTGTAGAGATGGTCACAGGGTTGATTGGCGAACCACACCACCCAGGTTTGATTATATAAGATGCAAATTTGGAGGTATTTTAAAGAGTTAAGCGTACTGGCATGGGAGTAGCAAAAATGATGGGCGACCCCCTGGGAAGTAGATTTGGGCTTATGGGCTGGGCTATAGACTGGGCTTTCTATAGTGGGCTATCTACCTCGGGTGTTAACCGGCCCCGGGGTAGTCACGAGGTTAACTGGCCTCGGGCCCCCTGCTTGTAACCGACCGTTCATTATTTTAAATATATATATATATATATATATATATATATATATATATATATATATATATAGGGGCTGGTTCAAGTGAGAATGCATCTTGGTGAAAGAAATAAGAATAAAATCTAGCCTTTGGATCTGATGCATCGTGCGGCTCAGATTGCATTTTGCACTCAAATTTTGAGATAGTGCATTTTCAAACCATCTTGGTGCACCTAATTTTGATGCAATCCTAACCCTTAGATCTCCCAATCTAATGCACCAGATTCATTCTTATTTCTTTCATTAGATTGCATTCTCACCTGAACCAAAATCTATATATATATATATATACTCCCTCCGTCCACAAAAAAACTTCCCATTTCTAAATTTAGTAAGGAATTGAAGGGTAAAGGTCAATTATACCCCTCCCTCTCATTCATCGTCATTATCCCCATTTACTCTACGCCACCCACCTATTATCTACCTCTACTTCTTCGCCATTTACTCCTTCACGCCATCCTCTTCCACAAACCTCTTAGATCTAGGGTTTTCCTCCTCTCTTTCGTCTCTATTCCTCCTCTCTGATACCTTCACCATGTTGCTCTCACCTGTACCAGAGCAGCGGATTTAAACGAGACAAGTGGGTGGGTGAATTTCTATGGATTCCGAAGATCTGCTCTACCTATCTGTAATTGAAGAGACTGTGGATGAAATCGACCCTGAGGAGACCGTCGAGGATGAAAAATCCTTTTCCGCGTCTGGTGATTTGGTGATTGAGCAACTTCATCCTCTTGAAGAAGGTATTTTGAAGGTGGCGGAGGTTGTCCCTGATTCAGAGGAAGAGGAGAGCCTACTGAGCCCTCTCCAGTGTCAAGCTTTGTGTGCGCAAGAAACCACACTTGTAACACCATCTTAAAGCTTATGTTCCCGGGCTGGGATACACCCATGTAGGGATAAACCGTACTCTCTCTTCTCTACTTTAAACACACTTTAATTTATGTTTACCTTCTCTCTATGATGACACTTGGTTATATCCCTTACTTTGTGTGTGCCCTGGCCTGTGTTTGTGCTATGTGTGTGTGTGCATAAGTAGGGCTGGAGTGTGTCTGAGCATGCTATGATGTGGTTGGTCAGTTAAACTGCAATGATGAGTAACAAGAAATCCATACATTACTTTGTTGGAATACATTAAACATGTATGGTTGCTGTTTGTTCAAAAACCCAAAAATCAAAAACCCAAAAACAATGTACAACCACAATGATACACAGTCTTTTGTTAGGTATTAGTTCAATCTTGAAGAATGATCTCCTCATCTTCTTCAAGAATGAACTGACCCAGTAGGACTTCATGTGTTTCAACCATAGGTGCAGTTGGCCCATTTTGTTCCCCAAGTACTGCCATACTCCTCTCATACAAACCCTCTTCTAGTTGTAGTACATGTGGCAGGGTCCCATTTCTGTGCATAGCATCCTTTCCCATGTGTGGCACTTTGAAGTTATTGCCCCCTTCAACCTTCATCACCTCTTGCATAACATGTTGATAACTCAGCCACACTTTGTTTAGTGTGTGGGCTGAGAACTGATTGTATGCTTCCTGGACTGCATTCATTAATTCTGTTACATTGCTTGGAGCTGATTGTTCTTTCAATGACTGTATGGCCCTGAAAAAACCTAAATCTAGAATGTTGAGGTCTGGAGAATTAGGGGGCTGATTAGCTAGGGTAATCTAGAAACCATTTGTTGTACTTCCCATGACAAACTCTAGGTCATTTCCAAGAATATGTGGCCTTGCATTATCTTGTTGGATAACAATTTCCTTGCTTAAGAAGTTTGGCCACTTCTCTTGAATGGCAGGTATGACTATCAGCATGTCCTTGAACACTTGTTTAGTGACACTTGATATCGGTTTGGTTTCCAGTGAACCTGCTTCCCTGTTCTTGCTTTTTCTCTTAGCCTCAACAGACTCCACAAAGGGGAAAATCCCTACCTTACCATCCCAAAGGACTTCACCTTCATCAGAAATTATAGGTCTTCCTACGACCCCTAGAAACATGATTTTTGTGATGAATCTCTTAGATTGACAGCTTCGGTATGGCTCTTCCTCATCGAGGGTCAAATAAAAGCGTTGTGATGTTTTTCTCATAAAAAACCATTTCTCATCAATGTGCAAGACATTTTTAAAACTCTTGAAGGTTGGGTTTAAGGGGATACTAGATTCTTCTAACTGCTGCAAACAAAACATCATCCTTTGCCTCTTATTTGCATCAGTAAGTGTGGGCTTAATTGTATTAGTGTGACTTCGAATAATACCTCGTTTCACCCAATTGTAAATTGTTGATTTTGAGATCCCCCTTGCTGATGCTAGTGCTCTTATGCTGGTTCTCCTCCTCAATGGAACTTCTGAAATGGACTCCAAGTCCTGGCATTCTACTTATTACGTCAATGCAACTGCCTGTTTGTAGTTGTTCCTTAGCTGTTGTCCCCAACGAAGTGATTGTCCTTCTACAAACATTGAACTCAGCAGCCACACTTTTGACAGAGTCCCTCTGAGCAGTTTGCGTGCCCATGATGTTTGTTTTTGCTTGTAGTAGCAACTTGTCGATAATTCCTTGTCGTTCTAAGTTTGACAGCTTTTTTTTTCCTTTTACCTTGTGTGTTTTCTTCATCTGTGGGCAGTGTCTGTGTTGGTATTGACGGTTTCATCCCGGAGATTGATATGGCTGTGAAGGCAACACTAGAAAAGGGAAAAAGAAAAGCTCCCTCACATGGTAGGAAGAGAAGGAAGCTTGGAGACAAAAATTCTCACATGGCAGGAACAAACAAACACAAAAAGGAAGAATTTGGCAATGAAGAAAAAAAAGAAGAACCTGGCAGTGGAGAAGGAAACAAAGAATAATGGAGTGCTGGAAATCTAAAAATGGAAATCTAAAAATGGAAAGTACTTATAGGCTTTACATCTGGGTGGGAACTTTTAACTTTGTGGAGGGAAATGAATTTTTTTGCTAATTTGGGCACTCAAAAGTGCCGTGTAATGTGGATTATGGAGGATTTTTAATCATTGCAATGTACTTTTACTTTTGATATTTTAACCATTATGTATCAAATCAATAAGTTTATCATCCTTTTTTCTTTTGCACATATCACGCCCAAACCCACTAAAGGGTAATATGGGAAAGTCAAGGACAATTTCAACTTTTCTTAAAGTGCGTGTCGAGTCAAACCGGGAAGTTCTTTTTTGGACGGAGAGAGTATATATTAGGGGAAAAGTTTTATTCAAATACTCCCTCCGTCCCCTTTTAGATAAAATTAAGGAAGAGTCAAGTCAGTATTTTTTTCCCAAATTACCCCCAAATAGTATAAGAATGGGTGAGTGGATGAGATTTGACATTGAAATAATAAAGGGGAGGGAGGGTAAAAGAGTCCATTTAGTGTAAAAGTAAACACTTTGTAATCCTTTTTGGGACAAAAATAAGAGGGAATATTGTAATCAAATTGGGGACGGAGGGAGTAGTAAAAGAGTACAAGGGGTGGCCAAAAAGCCCCAACATAATGGCCTACAATAAGAAATCAAAAGGAAAAAGCCCAANAAAACAAATGAATCCAAACAAAAACCAATTGTGACATCCTGATGGGTTTGCTAGCTAGAATTGCCATGATCACTTTGGAGATACACCTTGGTGTCGTGTAGCAACGAGCAGCAATTCAATAATTTTAGATCATCAGAACTGAATTCCTGTTAGGATCACTTTCACATAAAACTGCTCTTGGGTACCCCATATTTTGGGAAACTAACTGACAGGTACCTCATATTTTCAAAATATATTCCGAGGTACCTTCTATTTTGAGAAACTAACTATCGGGTACCTCACATTTTTAAAATATACTCCGAGGTACCCTCTATTTTGAGAAATTAACTATCAGGTACCTCACATTTTTAAAATATATTCCAGGATACCTCCAAATATACATTAATTTTACGCCATTAATTTTAAGAAATAGGGATTTGGAATTTTAAAAGTAACCAAGATCTTTTTAATTTGAAGAAATTGTACTCAATACTTTTAAAATTGAGTACTCAATTTTCTTCAAGCATGATATATATATATATATATATATATATATATATATATATATATATATATGTATGTATGTATGTATATATATATATATACATATATAGACACACACACACACACACACACACACATATATACTCCCTCCGTACCGAAGTATTCGTCCAGTTTTGACTTTTGGAATTGTTCATCTAAGCACTTTGACTCATCAAATTATCTCAATGTGTAAAATTAAATATAGTCATGTGTGATCTTGTTTGATTTGTCTTAACATATAGATTATTAATATATAATTTCTATAATTTTTTAATATACAAATTACAAGATAAAATGGATTAAAGAAGTGTATTCGATGGTGTGTAAAAATGAAAGTGGACAAATACTCTGGGACGGAGGTAGTATATATATTCGTGATGAATGCAATCTCATATTATTCGTGAATGTAGAAACTTTACAATATAACCATAATTTTGAAAAATTGATGGTAGCACCTACAATTTCCTCTCTCGAAGCTCTAGGTAAAACATGAAGAATTTGTTGAAAATCACCTCTGAGTACAACCGTTTTCCATCCGAATGGTTCATTTATGGAGTTTTTATTACAGAACATCATTACATCTCTCATTGTATAATTCAATGCTTTAAAAGTAAATCTATTCATCATACACGCTTCATCTCATACGATTAGACTTGCTTGTTGGATTTGTTTTTCTTTCGGGCTCCCTTGTTTGATGGCACATGTTGAGCTCTCAGTTAGCGCCAGAGGAATTTAGAATGTTGAGTGTGCTGTCCTTCCCCAAGTAAAAGCATTGCTGCAATCACACTTGATGCGACATTTAAGACAACCTTATCATTTGACCACAGAGAAGTAGATCGATAGTGATTTCCTAGGAAATGTTTTTCCAGTTCCACCGAAACCATACACAAAAGAATCAGATAGTATTTGAGTACATTGTTTATGATATCACATACGCATAATTAGTTAATATACAAAGATATTTGTCGTATGATTACCTTCATAGGAAGTAATAGCATATTGAAGATATATCAGTCTATTCTATCTCTTATGCACTTGAAAGCGTGATGAAGTGCAGGCCCGCCCAATCATTTTAATAGGCCCCGTGCACAGGTAATACTTTTTCACTTTTAAAATATTTATTCATTTATCTTTATACAGTAACTAAGATTGACCTTCGACATATAGTTGAATAAAAATTAGATAAAATAATGTTTCGATAATATTTTGTAAGACAAATCTAATAAATTTGTTCTTATATCAATATCTAATATGGAGTATAAATTTTACTTTATATTAAACTAATGGTAAAACATTATCAAAATTAGTTTTTTTTAAGATTGAAATGCTAAATGAAACAAAAAAGTCATTTTTATAACTAATTAATGATTCAAAAAAAAAACAGATTAGTTTTTTTTTAAAATAAACCTGAAATACGAAACTAATGAATGAAACGGTACTTTGTACTATTCAAAAATCGAGAATCTCTGATCAATGAAGAAAAAATAAAAAAATTAAATTAAGCATAGTCTTGGAGAAGTTGTTGGGCTTGGGTTTATACGTATTAGTGGACTGATTAGTTGATACAAAAAATTGAATCTATTCACGGCAGTACTGAAGCTAAGTGAAACGAATGGGCCCCTTAAATTTGGGGGCCCTGTTCAAATGAACCTGTTGAACATGGGTTTGGGCGGGCCTTGATTGAAGTGGGTGTAGAATTATTCCCAGATTAATGCACTGTATAAAACATTTTTTAGGAATAATGTAATGGAAATGTTAAATTTTAAATTCGAAATAAAAAATTACCATTTGTCACATCTACATTCTTTCTCAAATGGGTTAAATTATGTGAGATTATAGCCGATGACGATGCCTCTCTATCTATATATGTAATTTCTATGATAAACAAAATAGTTTATTAATATATATTTTATGGAGAAGTACAGCTTTTATTCAAACTTTGTTTACGGATGAGTTATAAATTTATTCATTAATTTTTATACATGATAGCTTTTCGAAAATAAAAGCTTTGGTAAAAAATTCTTTTTTTATGTGTATTAAAATGTAAAAATAAAACCCACTAAAAATTTGGCTACACAAAAAATAAAAAAGTGACGATTAAAAGTTCGTCCCTAAACGATGTTTATAATAATTATAATAATAAAAAAAATTAAAATAATAATAATAATAATAATAATAATAATAATAATAATAATAATCAGACTTGGTGGTTTGCCACTGGGATTAAAAATAATAATAATAATAATAATAATAATAATAATAATAATATTAATAATAATAATAATAATAATAATGACAATGACAATACGAATAATAATAGTACTACTAATTATAGTATTATAATTATTAATCTTTATATAAAATAATATTTAAAGCTTTTGTTACCAATTTCGTAAAAAGAAAAACAATATATAAAAAAAAGGAAATTTTTATGCCATACTTATTTAATAGAACATTAATTATTTTTTTTATAAATTCAAAAACATTCTAAATCTAATAAAAATTTTGTTTCATTCTAAAATTAATATTTTCCATTTTAAAATTATTACTTTCCATTAATAGCTTTCAATAATAACTATCTAAAATGGCAAAAGTTGGTGCGATAATATTTATGTGTAATGAGTTAGTTTTAATTAGTGATGGAAACCGCTTTTTCAGGGCAACGACCCGATGAAATCAGTACCGGATCGGCACCGCACCGAATAGCGAAATCCGAAAATTAAGTAAATAAATAAAAAGCGGAGAGAAAGTATTTATACGTGGAAACCTAAATCGGGAGAAAACCACGGGCCTTTTTAGGCGGTGCCATGCCAAAGGGGGAAGAACTTTTATTAATCTCGGGGGAATTTACATATACACCACTGTAGGAGCTTGGAGCCATTAATGGAGCTCCAAGCTAAGAGAAGGAGAAGAATGAAGAATAATACGTAGTAGTAAAACTAGTAGGAAATCGGCCTCCCTCCTCCCTCCTTCGTAGCCTGCATTTAAAGGGGAGAAGGAAATAATTGATGGAGACAAGAGGGGACATTGTCCATGTGAAGTCCATGTGCGGCATGTGATTTCCATGTGTAAGTGTTCCACAGGTCCCACCAAATGTCTCCACATCACTTCAAATATATATTCTTCTGTCCGTATATCTCTGGTTCTGTCTTGAATAATTTATCTGATTTATATCTTGGGCCAGATAAAATTAGGCTTTCTTGTACTGTTCAAATAATATTGGATTAGGAAAAATCTCTAATCCATCACATGCCCCCTAGTTTTGAGTCTGTCTCGGGGAACGCGACAGATTCAAAACTATATGACTCACTGGGTTGCCTCATGGGATAAAACTTTTTTTGGAACCTTGACAAGAGGACCTTCTTTTTTTTGGAGGGTCTCGTTACCTCGTGGGTAAGGATTTAACTTAGTGTCTCTCGAAAGAGGACTTTTCTCGGGGATTTGGTGCCTCTTGGAAGAGGACTTTTCTCAGGGATTTGTGCCTCTTTAGAAAAGGACCTTCTCGGGACTTTGTGCCTCTTTGGAAGAGGACTTTATCGGGATTGTGTCTCTTTGGAAGAGGACCTTCTTAGGACTTTGTGCCTCTTTGGAAGAGGACTTTCTCGGGACTTTGTGCCTCTTTAGAAGAGGACCTTCTCGGAACTTTGTGCCTCTTGAAAGAGGACTTTTCTTTCTTTTTAGTTCCTCGGGAAGAGGACTCGGTACCTCTTGGAAGAGGACTTTTCTCGGGGATTTGGGCCTCTTAAAAGAGGACTTTCTTGGGACTTGGTGCCTCTTTGGAAGAGGACTTGGTGCCTCGGGGAAGAGGACTTTTCTCGGAGCTCGGTACCTCTTGGGAGAGGACTTCTCTTGGGGATTCGTTGCCTCTAGGAAGAGGAGTTTCTTGGGACTTGGTGCCTCTTTGGAAGAGGACTTTCTCGGGACTTTGTGCCTCTTTGGAAGAGGACTTTCTCGGGACTGTGTCTGTTTAGAAGAGGACTTTCTCGGGACTTTGTGCCTCTTTAGAAGAGGACTTTCTCGGGACTTTGTGTCTCTTTGGAAGAGGACTTTCTCGGGACTTTGTGCCTCTTTGGAAGAGGACCTTCTCGGAGCTCAGTACCTCTTGGGAGAGGACTTCTCTCGGGGATTCGTTGCCTCTAGGAAGAGGACTTTGCTCAGGGCTCTTTTTTCAATATTCTTTGGGAGCCTCTAAACCCCCACCCGATATCTATCTGACCGTGGTTGGGCGCTCCGCTCTTATTGAATTATAGACAATCTTCGTCCACCTTTCTCTTCGTCCCTGTCCCTCCAACTGAGGGGGGGCCTACTCAAATCTCTTTCATAGGATTCCTTCCTCTTGGGTAGCTTGTTCCTAATGGGCTAGACTTCAGCCCATCCTTAAGCCCCAATCCTTTTCCTTATCCTATCTTTCCTAAACCTCGGTACGGGAGTCTATGACTATCTCCAGTAATTCAATCACTTAACTACTTGATCTAACTACTGACCTCTACTTTATATTCTTTTACATTATTACTTTTATCAACTTATACAACTCGGAACGGACCACCTGAGGCTTGACCCGTCCATTTGAGGGACCCATGAAGTTGGAGCGGTCCACTGGAGGCCAAATCCGTCCATGTGAAGGAGCCATGAGGATGGAGCGGTCCACTTGAGGCAAAATCCATCCATTTGAGGGACTCATGAAGTTGGAGCGGTCCATTGGAGGCCAAATCCGTCCATGTGAAGGAGCCATGAGGATGGAGCGGTCCTCTTGAGGCAAAATCCGTCCATTTGAGGGACCCATCAAGTTGGAGCAGTCCACTGGAGGCCAAATCCGTCCATGTGAAGGACCTATGAAGATAGAGC